CTCCCCACATCCAAAGCATCCTGATCCTGAAACTCAACCACAGGCTGAGCTCCAACAGCACTAAAGCCTGGCCCTCTCAGCCGTTCACGTGGACCACTTTAGATTTCAGAGTATTTTGGAATTCCAGAAAAGGGATGTTCAACCTCTATATAAAATAAATACATTTATTCATGACAAAAAAATGGAGGTACACTTTTTGTTAAGCAGCCTCAAAAAAGGTGGTCATTTGTAATAAGAGAGGGGATGTTGGGGTACCACTTACCCATTCCTTTCATTTTTTCTTACTTATTTGTCCTTGGATGTGATTCTTTGAGATGCTTCTCTTCCTTCTCTTTTTGTTATTTCTTTGATTAGGACAACCCTTGTATCTGTAAGAACAGTGTCCGTGGTTTCATTTACCAATGTCAGACAAAATACACCCTCATTAGGCATTTTTTAGATCCTCCAGTAACTCTTCAATATTCTCTGACTGGAAGTTCTTCATTTCAATAGGATTCACTAATATTTTATGTGGTTTCACATATCAGCACAAAGTCCAAGAATATATCCTCTGGATCCAGGGGTAGCACTGTATTCTGCTTTTCTCCTCAAATTGGAAGCCAAGGTGGTTTATTTAAAACTGTTGCTACTTAAGCTCAACTATTTTGATTCTATATCTTGAAAGGAAGAGTGTGTGGCTCAGTAGTAGAATTGGGTCCATAATAGTAAAATATTGGTTACCAAGGCAGGGTTTCATTAATTTTAAAAGCTGTTAGCTGTTTGAGTGGACAGTAATGGACTAGATGGAGGAGTGGTCTGGCTTGATACAAAATCTGATTTGAACTGGGTCATCTTGGTCTACACTGCCATATAATCCACTTCAAAGCAGATAATGTGGATTTTATACAGCTGTGTAAAAGGGGCCTTAGTAGATGGGTAGACTTAGATAAGTGTTTTCCGAAATATATTTTAGGTTCTAGAAAGACCGTATCTGCTTATGTATCCCCATTCAGCTCTCTTTTCAATAGTGAACATGTTCCAGTACATGTGTACCAAATACAAATGTCTGGTGTTAGCCGAGTAAGCAGTATGACTAATACAGAGGTATAAACACAACTCTGATTTGAAAGATAACCTTAATTGACCCTGTGTTCAAAACAGTGTTCTGGGATAATATGACCTTGATTCCGATGTTAGCACATGATCTATAGAAGAGCTGTTTTCACCAGTCAACACATTTGGTGGGCCACTTCTCTGCCACGTTTGAGTAATTTGTGCAGAACAAAGCAAACCATATAGATGAACATATTGGAGAGCGGTGGGACTGATGCCAGGTAGTTCAAAGATATGGATGGAACAGAGGCATTGCTCAGTGGAAGCAAAAGCTAGTCACATAGCATCTGCATCAGCGTAACTTTTTCAAATGGAGCTAAAGAAAAGCGTGAAAAATATTTTCAATATCTAGAAATAAATTCATGGGTAGCCTGCCAGCCATCCTGCCTTCCCATCTATTTATAGGTTGTAAGTTCATCCTCATCCATAACTTTTGAAGCTTTAACTACACYAGTGGTTGTCAACCTTTTTTTTTKACCAGGGACCACTTTGACTAGAGACCTCTCTCCAACATTCGTACCAAAAGGGTTATGAATCAGTTTTTGGTCAACTTTAGATTAGGTTTGGTTATTTGGGGTGCTGATTCAGAAAATTGCATTGGATAGACCGCATSAGCTCTAGTTTCTGATGCAGAATATATGCCATCCAGTAGTCACCATCTGCTTGCCCACAGAAAACCATATTTAATAATCTAGAGCTGATGTAGTAGTAATCTTTTGTGGGTAGTCAGCYCCTCTCCTTCCAACATCATTGTTGCCTCAGCACTATAAGAGGGTTCCGCGAGACCAGTTGCTCTCATTGCTGYGTGGTTTTGAGGCAATGGTGTAGTAATGGTGAGGCCRTGGAACATTTTTTCATTCTTGGGGACCACTGGTGGTCCACAAACTACAGGTTGTTAACCACTGGACTACACTGATGTTACACGTACAATCATAGAATCATAGAGTTGGAAGAGACCTCATGAGCCATCCAGTCCAACCCCCAGTCCAACCCCCTGCCAAGAGGCAGGAATATTGCATTCAAAGCACCCCTGACAGATGGTCATCTAGCCTCTGCTTAATAACCTCCAAAGAAGGAGCCTCCACCACACTCCGGGGCAGAGAGTTCCACTGCTGAACGGCTCTCACAGTCAGGAAGTTCTTCCTAATGTTCAGATGGAATCTCCTTTCTTGTAGTTTGAAGCCATTGTTCCGCATCTTAGTCTCCAGGGAAGCAGAAAACAAGCTTGCTCCCTCCTCCCTCTCACATATTTATACATGGCTATCATGTCTCCTCTCAGCCTTCTTTTCTTCAGGCTAAACATGTCCAGCTCCTTAAGCTGCTCTTCATAGGGCTTGTTCTCCAGACCCTTGATCATTTTAGTCGCCCTCCTCTGGACACATTCCAGCTTGTCAACATCTCTCTTGAATTGTGGTGCCCAGAATTGAACACAATATTCCAGGTGTGGTCTAACCAAGGTGGAATAGAGGGGTAGGAGTCTAGATCTAGACACTAGACTCCTATTGATGCAAGCCAAAATCCCATTGGCTTTTTTTTGCCGCCACATCACATTGTTGGCTCATGTTTAACTTGTTGTCCACACGGACTCTAAGATCTTTTTCACACATACTGCTCTCGAGCCAGGCGTCCCCCATTCTGTATCTTTGCATTTCGTGTCCTTTAATCTGTGAACTGATTTTCTAATTTTCTAACTTTATGTAAAGTTAGAAAATTGCAAACTGGTAGGAAATGCTGTCTCTCGGAGACACCCCTATCTCTCGGAGTGTTTGTCTACACCTCACACTTTGGTACGATTGTATTTGTCATGGCTACATTTTCAACACAATCCACCCTTCTGAATTATAATGTTAGAGCTCTCTAACAAAGAACTCTAAATATCACCAAAATATAAATCCTAGCACTCCACAGGATGGAGACATGGCCATTAAAAGCAGAATAAAACTGCTATACCTTGTAATATAGATCCTTTTTGGTGTAGTGTCTCTCTGTTCTTCAGTAGACTTGTTCTTGGATGGTAGACGCAAATTCTCCCACGAAAAGCCATATTTACCACTTTAGTATGACCTGGTTTTGCTCTGTTTGCATAACCTTCTAGGGATCAAATAACCATGTAATTGAGAGGTACCAGAGTAGGTATTTATGGTAAGGAGAAGTATATATAAATTAAATTAAGAGCCTTGGGTCTTAGATTTAAAACTGATTGCTAATCTTAGCTAGAGAAGAACCACTGAAATCAGTTGCTGAGCAGTATATGAACAGTTATGTAAATCCTGTTTAATGAATCCACTGTAGATGAAACTAGATACTGGATTTGGGTTTTGAAAAATATGAGTCTAGGGGAGTTTGAAAATAAGAAAACCACACTTCTACTGCATTTGCCTAAATATTCCCGCAAGTCTTCCAACTGTAGTGATCAGACCAGTATGGTGCTGTGCCGCATCCCCGTCTTCCTAGCCATCTGTATGGGAAGGAGGAACAGAACAGAAGGAAGCTTTCCTTTGGGAACTCATGGGACTGGAGGAGCAGTGGGTGTGAAGGACATTTGGTGTATGTGTGGGAGGAGGAAAGCGAGAGTGAGAGAGTGTTTGAGCATGTAAACATGCCAGCTGTCAAGTGTGTTACTATTTTGTATTGCTTACCCAGAGAATAAAAGAACACAGATCTGGCAGGAGTTTCTCAGCAATCTGTAAATATATGGAAAGGGAAAGGGAGACAGATCTGCTACTTAACAGCTTGCTTTTTTAAAGAGTTGGGTTCTTGAACTGTTCTTATACTTATTATAGGTCTACTCAGGGTCTACATTCTCCCTAGTACCAGTTAGGATCTTGGAGCTCTACTGAGTTGGCAGTGGGGTAAAAGCATGGTTGCTCCGTGTCCCCAACAATGGCACATCTGAAGTGCACAGGGCTTTCAAAAACTGCATTAGACTAATTTTTATTTTGCTTTGGTGGATTTTTCATGCCAGAATTTTATCATCTACATTTACAGTATGGAGAGATGGCAAATCAACCTGGAAATATTTCCATGGCAGTCCAAAGATATTGGTTCCTTGTCTGGGTGGGAAAACAGTTCTCTTGGTTTGTAACATATGCATGATGTAAGTTAGATGATGTTGATCAAGATACCTACCCCAGGAAATCGTCTTTAGATATTGTGCACCTTAAAAAATAAAAATGATAAATAATAGGTGATTGATCATTCAGCAAATGCCTGAACCATACAGCAGTTAAAATTGCATGCCTGCCTCTATGATTGTGTACATATCTACCCATCTATCCATCCAACCATCCATCCATCCATCGATCCATCCATCCATGTCTTCATATCTCCGTCTTTCTAACCATCCATCCATCCATCCATTCCTCTATGCACCATGTTCTGCTGGAATGGTAAAGTGAAGGACAAAAGTGACTCCAAAGTGATGTTTTGCATTACATATCATCATTAATTCAAGAATCATGGCTCTGCTTTGGGAATATAGTCTACTCTTTCTCCTTTTTCCTTCAAGATCTGAAGCTGGTTGCCCAAAATGGGTCAGCAGTGTTCATGTTTACCGATAATGCTGGAAATGTTCCAAATTCAGTTTGCTAACTTTAGAAAAAAACCAAAACAAGTGAAATTTTAATATATAGTAGACTCACTGCAATCATCCTATATTCATGGATCAAAAGGAGGAAAAATGGATTTCTGATCCAAAGGAATGGAAAATGACAGAAAAGTGAATCAATCTTGTTGATTCCCTAAAGGCATTTTTAAGAAGATAAGAAGTTCAGGAGGCCAAAGAGTCATTGGAAAACCCAGTGGATTTATGAGTTGTTCTGGTAACACGTGGTTTTGATGACGCTCTCCCTGATGAGCTGACAAAAGCTCATACATGTTGTGTGTGTGTGTGTACTCTTTTCTCTCAGTGAATAGCTATGGGGAGGATGAAGACCTAACAACATCCTCAGACAGCGATGATGAAGTGATCAAGCAGTTCGAGATCTCTGTTTCACGTTCTCAAAGCTTTCGTTCAGGAGTTTCCGAGAAAGGAACCCAAGCAGGATTGGAGCGGAGGCCAAAATTTAACCGTTTGCTGTCCAATCACGAAGAGTACAGTTCTGAGATCTCTGAATGTGAAGGTATATTAATTAAAAATGTCTAACAAACTGAAAAAGAGAGATGGTTTGCCTTGAGAATAAATCACAACCAAGAGAGGTATATTTCTGTTTCTTCAGAAATGCATTGGGATTTGTCTGGAATGAAGGATGCAGAATGTTTTGAACACTACCGCTAGAAACGAAATCCAAGATCCTGGTGTGCAGACTTATCTTCCTATGTATAGATTCTGTATTTAAAATCACAGTGGAGAAGCATGTCCTTTCACATGGGAAGTTCTGTCTGATATGGATGGACTACAACAGCAACAGGTGCTATTGTCATGCATCTCTGTATTCACATCAACAAGGAAACAAAGCTGTGGAGATCTTTCCATAGGGGTCTAGGTTATTGTTATAGATTCTGTTCTGGTCCAACTTATCTGTCCGAACGTATCTCCCCTTACAAACCACTGAGGACTTTAAGATCATCTGGGGAGGACCTGCTCTCGGTCCCACCTTCGTCACAAGCACGTTTGGCAGGGACGAGAGACAGGGCCTTCTCAGTGGTGGCCCCTCGGCTATGGAACGCCCTTCCTAGGGAGATCAGATCTGCTCCCTCCCTCTTGACATTTCGGAGGCAAGTTAAAATGTGGCTTTTCGAGCAAGTGTTTACAAATACAGAGTAGCTAATATAGGAAATTGAATGACCTGACAATGGAACTGGACAATGCTTGAGAATAATGAGATGCTGATGATGTTGTTTTTACTGCTTTTGTGATGTCTTGTACTGTTTAATGTTTTTTGCCTATATTATGTTTTATGTATACTGATTTGTTGGAAACCGCCTCAAGTCGCCGATTGGCTGAGAAAGGCAGTATACAAATACAGTAAATAAATAAATAAATAGATAGATAGATAATTCATTGTCGATTTATATTGGGCCTTACCATGCATCATGGAAGATACTTCAGTTCCATTCTCTGGCTATGCAATGCAAGAGGAAATATTTCAGGAAAGCTGTCCCTATATCTGGATTTCTCATTGAGGAATTCTGTAACGAGCTTCCAGAACACTAAAAAAAGAACCATTCTGATACTTTATCACATTAGATAATAAATCCACTGCAGAATTCTGGGGTTTGTAGTTTAGTGAGGCTGTTAAAGGCTCCTCCCTAAACTACAATCCCCAGAATTCTGCAGAAGGTCGAAACCGGATTTTAAATGGATTCATTCCCTAGTATTTTGTTACTGTGTGTTTATTATGTTGTATAATTTTGGGCTTGGCCTCATGTTAGCCGCACCGAGTCCCCTTTGGGGAGATGGTAGCGGGTTATAAATAAAGTGTATTATTATTATTATTATTATTATTATTATTATTATTATTATTATTATTGTGTGTTGAAGTGGCTGGTTTACAGGACTTACATTGTAATCTTAGGTATTTCGTTTTAAAAGTAATCCCCTTTTATTTCAGTGGAGCTTTCTTCTAGGTAAGTGGGTATGGGATTACAGATTTAGTTGAATCCCCTGAACTGCATTTTTAGTGTCATTACATATTATGAAATGTAGAAGTGCTGTGTTTTAAGACTAATGCTTCCAGAATCCCACTGCAGGTGTGGTCAGTATATACTTACGATGCACAATTCTTGGAAAATGTTGACCCAAAAGGTAGCTTTCCCAGGCTGTGGATTTTTGTCTCACTGAAAATCAAACCTACAAGGCATGGAGTATGTCGTGAGGGGAATCAGGGGGAGAAACTGTGTGTAGGACGTGCGTAATGTGACTTCTCACTGTACAGACACTTCTATTCTGAAAACCTAAAACATTTCACTTATTTATTTTAAACTTCAAAAGCTGTCTTTCTGCCCAATGCTCTTATGTGCTGCAAATGTATATCAAACACATACTTTCTAATTTAGAGCTACAATCTGTTGTGTACATTGAGTTCTTTTCAATTTGGTTGGAGCTCAGAGCCTTCAGAATTGGCATGCCCGCAGATATTGCTTGCATCCTATGTACACTTGTTGGGCGGAAATCCCATGGAAGTCCACCTGTTTTGAGAGAAAGCAGGTGGAATTGAGCTGATGCCAAATTCATTGGAAGTGAGACTAGTTGAACGTAGTTGGAAAACTAGTGTACCTAAGTACAGACTGTGAGATTCATTGATTTTAAAAGGGTTTGTAGTTTGAAAAACTGAGTACTCCTGAAAAGTCTGAGGAACGTTCATAAATACCTGACCTTCCCTAAAGAGTTTTATGGAGAGCATTATTTCAATTAATTTTGGCTGCTTCTTCTATCTCCCTTCTATCTCTGCTTTTTCTCAACCAGATAAAGGAAATGTCCCTGTGTGTTTCTGGGGTGTCACAAGGATCTCAACCTTTGGCCCTCCAGTTTTTTTGGGTTGCAACCTCAAAAGCTCCAAGCGGTATACTTAATCATATGCTAATGTGGAGTTTTCCATCCAGACCATATGGGGACCAGAGATTGACAACCACTGATTTTGAGCAGCTTTCTGCAATGGGTCTTCCCATTGACTATACTGACTTGGGATGATGTTGCATCTGGAATCCACCTGGGCTATGGAAGGCTACTTAATGTAATAGCATATTTTGGTCCACAAGATGTTTTAACTGCCTTGAAACACCTGGGTGCTGACAGCAAATACTTCACTTCACTTCACTTTATTTCTTAATTAGTCGCTCTCCACCAAGGTGCTCCGAGCGACTTACAATCTAAGGATCCTAAACAAGGTCAAAGGCCTGTTTGAAGAGCCAAGTCAACAAATTGGTTCAAAACTCTTGGAGAGTGGGGGATAATCTAATCTCTCTGGGGAGGGCATTCCAAAGCTAGGGGGCCACCACTGAGAAGGCCCTCTCTCTCATCCCTACCAACCACACTTGAGATGGAGGTGGGACAGAGAGAAGGGTCTCCCCAGCAGATCTCAAAGCCTGTGTCAGTTCGTAGAAGGAGATGTGGTCTCGAATATAGGCTGGACCTGAAGCGTATAGGGTTTTATAGGTGATGACCTGCACTTTGAATTGAGTTCGGAAACTTGTTGGCGGCCAGTGGAGCTGTTTTAGTAGCGCTATCATATGTTCCCTATAATTGGCCCCAGTTAGTAATCTGGCAAGTGATCTTTGTACTAAATGCAATTTCCAGGCTGTCTTCAAAGGCAGCCCCATGTTACAGTAGTCCAATCTAGATGTAACTAAGGTGTGGACCACTGTGGCCAAGACAGCCTTTTTGAGGTTCAGTTGCAGTTGGTGCACAAGTTTTAACTGTGCGAAGGCCCTCCCAGCCATCACCAACATCTGAGCCTCAAGCATCAGTGCTGAATCCAGGAGGACCCTGAAACTGTGGACCTGTGTCCTCAGGGGGAGTGTAACCCCATCAAGCACAGGTTGTCACCCAATACCCCAGTTGGCCTCACAACTGACCAGGAGGACCTCCGTCTTGTCTGGATTAAGCCTCAGCTTGTTGGCCCTCATCACAGCAGTCAGACACTGGTTCAAGGTCTGGGAGGCTTCCTTGGAGTTTGGTGGAAATGAGTAGTAGAGTTGGGTGTCATCTGCATACAGATGGAACTCAACTCCAAAACTCCAGATGACCTCACCCAGTGGTTTCATGTAAATATTAAAAAGCATGGGGGAAAGAATTAAAACCTGTAGTGGAGTCACTACCCCAGTGATGGAGGACTCACTAAGCATCACTGGTAGTGTAAGAAGAAGAAGAAGAAGAAGAAGAAGCCATTAGGAACTTGTTTGCTTGGAATGAGGCATCTTTACATAATGCTTTCACCCTTAGGAATTCACAGATCTGTCTCACACATAGTTATCACTTCCAGACCCGGGGCTGCAGTGGATTAAAACATGAACAACACCATTGGTGATATTAATCCTCCTTCCAAAAATGATATTTTTTTCTTCTATGTTTGAAATGTGTTAGATCTGGATGGGTTCAGCCAACTGAGTTACCAAGACAACCTCTCTTATCATGAAGATGACCGTCTATCATTCGATTCAAGAACTGCATCAGAAAGTAGAGGCTCAGGGCAAACGAAGGACCCCGAAATGGAGGTTGGTGCAAAGCCGAGCCTCAGCCGCCAGGAAACTGAAGGGAGCTTAGAAATGGAGACAGCTTTTAGCAATCAAGGATTTGAAGGGAATGACGCTACTGACAGCTCCTCAGCATGGACTCCAGAGGTAAGACAAAACAGTTGTTCTTGCATAATGGTATGCTTTGATTCTTTGACGTCTTATCCAAGAAGGTTCTCTTTGTGTTCACAATGTTGCATACATTAGCAAATACCTTTAATATTACAGTATTTGAACATTTGGAGTATTTGTGAGATCCATCTTAAGTCTATAGTGTCATCTGAGCAGATTTCATATGGCAGCTCAGAAGTGATTGTCCCATAGAGACAGTAGTGCAGAGCCTGTATTTGAATGTGTTTTTGCATTGCTGCTTTTGTTATTAATACAGTGTGGTTATTTACCCAATCAATGGAGACAGGCTGTTCCCCTGATCATCTTGGAAATCTTCTGAGCCAGACTCTTCCAACATTGTTCTTTGACTTATTTACACTTGCAGTCTCTATTCTGACTTCTCTGCTGATTTGGTTCAACTGGGTGTATTTACAGTCAGTCCTCCATATCCATAAATTCTTCTGTCACAACTTGAAAGCACTTTTTTAGAATTCAAAAAGCAAACCATGAGTTTGCTGTTTTAAATAAAAAATGCCTTTGCATATACTGGGACTTGAGCATTCATGGATTTTGGTATCAGTTGGGGTCTTGGAACCAAACCCCAGTGGATACCAAGGGGCCACTGTAATAGTACTACATGGAGATGCTTATAGTATAGACCACCAGCATTGAAGCGATGGTCCTCTGCCATCAACTCCGCTGGACTGGTCACATTGTCCAAATGCCCAGTCACTGTCTCCCAAAGCAGTTGCTCTACTCTGAAGTCAAGAATGGGAAATGGAATGTTGGAGGACAGGAAAAAAGATTTAAAGATGGGCTCAAAGCCAATCTTTAAAACTCTGGCACAGACACTGAGAAGTGGGAAGCCCTGGCCCTTGAGCGCTCCAGATGGAGGTCAGCTGTGGCCAGCAGTGCTGTAGAACTTGAAGAGGCACAAATGGAGGGCAAAAGAGAGAAACGTGCCAAGAGGAAGGCATGTCAAGCCAACCCCGACCAGGACCGCCTTCCACCTGGAAACCAATGCCCGCACTGCAGGAGAACATACGGGTCAAGAATAGGGCTCCACAGTCACTTACGTACCCACCGCCAGGACACCACACTCGGAGGATAATCTTACTTGGACAACGAGGGATTGCCTAAGTAAGTAAGTAAGTAAGTAAGTAAGTAAGTAAGTAAGGTTTAATTGTTTTGACCTTCTTCCTACAAAATTGAAAAAATGTAGACCGTGCAAAAATAATCTGTGAACCACACCTCCTCCAAAGTGAACTGAGCTACCTAAACAGGGTTCTACAGGCCAATGGAGACTCCACCACAGACATCAGAAGAGCTTCAAGACCAAGAAGAAACCACAAGAGTCAAGACAAAGACCTACCTACCCAGAGGAAAAGTGTTCTTACCATACAACAAGGGAACCACTGACCGCATAGGGAAGCTGGTGAAGAAACACAACCTACAAACGAACTACAGACCCATGAAGAAAATCCAACATATTCTATGTTCAGCAAAAGATAGAGATGGTCCTCTCACCTCTGCAGGAGTCTACCATATGCCATGTAGCTGTGGACAAGTCTACTTAGGAACCACCCAACGTAGCTGCATTGCCCAAACACGAATCAAGCAACATGAAAGGCACTGCAGACTAATTCAACCAAAGAAGCCAACCATAAGAGCACCTAATGAACCAACCTGGGCACGGTATATTATTTGAGAACACAGAAATGCTCAACCACTGTAACCAGGTCAGACTACACAGAAAAGCCCACTGAAATCCACAAGCAAGTGGACAATTTCAACAGAAAGGAGGAAAGCATGAAAATGAACAAAATATGACTTCCAGTATTATAAAACTCTAAAATCAGGCCAGTAAATAAAGAGCAAGACTCAAAAAGCTGTGGAATTCCAGACAAGAATCACTCAGGGTCAGCTAACACCTCCCAACAAAGAATTTCCCCAGGCAGCACCCAGCCAGGCCTTGAAACTGCTAGGCCATTAAATGCTAATCAAGGTGGCAAATTGCAACATTCACATGTACCTCTAGCAGACAAGACTTCTTCCCCCACCCTGGTCATTCCACAGATCAGCTGTGACCAGCAGTGCTACAGAATTCGAGGAGGCACGAGTGGAGGGCGAAAGAGAGAAACGTGCCAGGAGGAAGGCGCGTCAAGCCAACCCCGACCGGAACCGCCTTCCACTTGGAAACCAATGCCCTCACTGTGGGAGAAGATGCGGGTCAAGAATAGGGCTCCACAGCCACCTACAAACCCACAAGGAAACGCATAATGGAAGACCATCTTACTCATCCAACGAGGGATCGCCTAAGTAAGTAAGTAAGTAAGTAAGTAAGTAAGTACATTCCATAGATATATACACTTCACTTAGATTCCAACAGACCTCACAACCTCTGAGGATGTCTGCCATAGATGTGGGCAAAATGTCAGGAAAGAATATTTCTGGAACATGGCTGTAAAGCACAGGAAACCCATAGCAACCCAGTAAAAATGTAATTGCTAGTAGGATGCCAACAGGGAGTACCATCAAATGGGTGCAAACATATGCTAGGTGCAAACATATGCTTGCAGATGTTTCTTAATGTAACTTGTTATGTTCCCTGTGAGATAGTTGAGCATTGATTCCATTGAACAAATAAGCATTTTGAGAAGGGAACAGTAAATGCTTTGCTTTCTGTCCTACACTAGTTCCTCTTCCTGGGCCAGAGAGCATGCCTCCTTTTAATGTGATCATACAGTAATTTTGCTTGTCAGGATTTAGAGATCAGGACATTGTATGACTGCTGTAAAGGAGATTGGGAAATGAGGGTGTTCCAGGCTTTACAAATTCTGCAGCTGCAGATGCTTCTCTTCTTCCATCCCCTTAGTTGACAGCTATTAGGAGATAAGCCTGCTTGCAAAGAAGTGAAAATTAAAAAAATTCCCATAGATGCAGTGTAACAAGCAAAGGAATGTTGCCTACAGTGGCAGTTCTGTTTCCTCCATTTTTGGCTTGAATCACACAAAGATCATAGTTCTAAGGCTATCAACACATTATTTTCTCTAGGGAAGAGTCACAGGTCAGTAAGTTAACCAACAAGAGACTTAATTTACCCACATCGTCTCATGTACGAAGTGTGGTGTCATCCACACCCTTAAATAAAATGATATTGCATTCCAAGATTGTAACTGAAGAGACAGGAAAAGGAAGGATCGTGGTCATCAATTTGAAATTACTGAAATTACCACAGTTTGAAGGCCCCTATTTAAAAAAAACCTGTTGAGGAATAGGAAATCACTAAAGAGCACAGATGTTCAAATGTTTTGCTCGGCATGCTGCCTACGGGATTCTGGAAATTGTGCCAAAGGATATTGAGCATCATAGTTCCTTAGTCTCCAAATAGCAAATTGATAAAAGAAAAGGACTAAATCCCCATTCCGGAAATCTTGGCCAGGCAGTGTCTATCTATTACATCAAACCACAAAGCAGGTGAACTCAATTGGTCTATTGTTTCAGACATTGGCACTGTCACTGCGCTGGTACGGCTGTATCAGGAGCCCCAACTTTATTTGCTTTGTATTAAATGTTTGCTTGCAGTCCAAGGTTTCAGGGGTTCTGCAGAAAGGGGGCTTCCTTTGGTTGCTGTCATATTGCAAGTCACCTGTCCATCATCGTTAAGTTTTGGTTCCGCCCCTTGTTCAGGGCAATTGGGAAGGGATGGGAGCCATTTTTAGTTAGTCTCAGTAAGGAAAGCTAATTTAGAGGACGTGTACAAGCTTTTCCTGTACAAAAGCTTCAACCCTTAAGACTTTCCAGGGAGAACAGTCTTAAGAGCATCCAAAGATTTTCAAAGATTTCCAGGGAAACAGCCCTAAAGCTTTGAGGAATTTTGGAGGGTAATGTTGCGTCTCAGGTTAAGCTTCACCTTGCTCTCTGACAAACCAGCCAAACTTGAGAAGAAAGAAGTTTATTGAGGTTTCAAACAAATCCAAGTAAAAGCAGTAAAAAGTTCAATAGTACAAAGATAGGTCCAATAAGTTCTGTTGATTCAAAGCAGGAAACTAGAGGCAAAGAAGCAGGATACAATCCAGGCAATAGCATGAAGTTACAGGAAGCAAACGAACCCCAAGGCCCAAGCCCTAGAGCCAAAGGTACAGCAATCCATATTGCAAAGTTGGATCTGACACTGAATCAGCTTTCAAGCAGTCTTCTTATAGGAAAAACATCAAAACATGAACATTAAACAGAACAGCTAACGAGCAGTTTTCCCACCAGCAGATGGCCTCAAGATTTGGCCGCAATCCGTAAACTTTTCCTTAACACCTGCGGCTCGCGCTGACCTTCACCGAGAGTGTTATCAGCCACATTCCTTTCCCTTGAGAACAAGGGATTCTCTCTAGCTACAGACTGTGGCTGAGAAAACTGAGAAATCTGAAATCCCACATCTGCATCTGTATTCCCATCATGCCCACTTGCACTCTCAGTCCCATCATGCTGTTGCTGAACCACAACAGGTAAACAGTTTGTAAGACCAAAGAACTCCAGCTGGAGAGCCTACTGGCCTAACTGGTAGGTCCACTCGGTGCTCGAGACGCAGTTCGACCCAGTAGCAGAGCTCACATCAGTAAGGCTTAGATCACAGTCAGCCTGAGAGAAGTTAAAAAGGGATTTTCCTTTAAAGTAAAGAAACAGTGATTGAAGACCATTGCCTGTCCCTCGTGGACATGATTAGGAAGCCACCAGTTGCATAAAAGCCTGGAAGCATTTGTTTAACTTTATTGAAGACAAGAGAAGTTTCTGTTTGATTGTTCATTAATAAAGGACTTTGTTATACTTCACAAGCCATCTAAAGACCATTTATGGTGGAAAATCCTTGAGAACTTCTCTTCGGGGGGCCCCTGGCTTCCCGCTGGGCTCAAGTTGCACGTCCTATTTTAAAGGCAATTCTTTACAGGCCCAGCGCATGACAGAACAGTCACTGTTGTAGTGCCTGGATATAAAGACTCAAC